CTTTGCTGTTCCAACCTGGCTGCCTGTGGGATCAGTGAGTATCTGAAGGGGTGTCCTTCCCCCGAAACCCTCCACCACCAGCACACTGGCCTCCCTGGCCTCTATCGTGAGGTTCCCAGTAAGATTTCCTTCGAAGAAAAGGCTTTCCTGGTACAATGTTCTTTTTTTTTAATTGAATTTCTTTTTTCCATTGTGCTTTCTTTCCATAATGCTCCATCATGAAAACGAGTGGAGAAGGGTAACGAAAGCATGGGCTCTGATCACAGGCAGGTCGACACAGCGGCGTCTTAAACCAAAGAGGGACCCTCCGGAGACCTACGCGCGGGCTCTGCGCTCCATCACGGGGAAGCAGCAGAGTTAGATCCGCAAAGCTGCCGGAGGGTCACCTCCATAGACCCAGCAGGTTTGCAACCTGCAAATACCTATTAGAAAATTACTCACCTTTTCATCACCGCACCTTGTCACTAGTCAAATAAATAAATAAGTAAGTAAATAAAAAGACAAGTATGAAGCTTCTCCGGGCTGGGAGTCAAGGTGAGGTAGATGTGGGGGCTGATGCACGCCCTCCAGCCAGGGCCGCGGCCGAATGGGGAAGAGAGGTGTAGGCCGAGTGAGAAGACGGAGCAACTGGAATCGGGAGGTCCGAGTCTGTCACTCGTTAGCTACAGAGCCTACAGCAGGTCACGGCCCCTCTGAGCCTCGGAGGGTAAGAGCAATCCCACCCTGGGGGCGTCGCGAGGGGCAGAGTCACGCATCCTCCACTCCTGGGTGCCCAGATCACCCCCTACAGTGAGGTACGGAGATCAAGGGTACAGCCTCTGCCCAAGGGGGCTCACGGCCCAGGAAGCAGGCAATTACAGAACAGCGCGATGAGCAGCACTCACGGGCGGACACGCGTCACGCACAACCGTCGAGGAGGCTGGAGAGCGGAGCAGCGGCTGCAGCGTCCAAGGCCACGTGTGTGTCCCCACCCTTGTCCGGCTCTGCCCCACTGCCTGCACCGGGGCCCTCCTCCGCCCACCGGAGCCCACTCTGCCCTGCAGGCCGGACGGAGGAGGAGTGAACGGCTCCCGTGCGGCTCTCTACCTGGAAGTGAGGTGCTGTGTGAACACCCCTGCCTTGGGCCCAGGGCGGGGAACTCCCAGCGAGCACCTGCCTATTTCTCAGAACTTCCCTGCGGGACAAGGCCGGCTGCCCGCGCGGGGACTGGCCCGGGCTTTCCTCCCTCAGTTGACTCCTTTCATCACCAGCACTTCCTGGGACTGTTTCCCAACAAACTCTTCAACACTCATATCCTGGCCCGGGCGCCTGCTTGCGGGGAAACCCGCTGTCAGATGGTGGGCACCCAGTCCCGCCAAGCGAGAGCCGGGAGACCAGAGTCTCCTGGAAGAAGACGTGGTATCTGAACCGAGCTGAGCTCCGAGACGGCAAACCAGCCGGGCCAACCCGAAGTGCGGGACCTGTGTGAGGGCTCAGGACTAGTATCGTTATTACAGGGGGCAGCGGCCCACCGCGGGGTTCTTACACCAGAGCCGGTCCAGGAGTGATTTGTTCCTGGTCCAAAGACAGAAATGACAGTGGGGCACCTGGGTGGCTCAGTCAGTTGAGCATCCGACTTCGGCTCAGGACGTGATCTCACGGTTCGTGGGTTCAAGCCCCGCGTCGGGCTCTGTGCTGACAGCTCAGAGCCTGGAGCCTGCTTCTGATTCTATGTCTCCCTCTCTCTCTGCCCCTCCCCTGCTCATGCTATCTCTCTCTCTCTCTCAGAAATAAAAAAAAAAAAAAAAAGAAGAAGAAGAAATGATGGTGCCATTAGACTACCACATATTAATTAGAAAATGAAACAAGCAAACCTTTACTTCAGAGAGTCTGAAGTACACGCTCAGAACACCTAGTTCCCTCTCTTACCCACATCATTTCTGTTTGTTGTGTCCCTCAGTCTTTCCCAGGGCAGGTCAGCCTAGAGGGAGAAGTAGAGCGCAGGGCCCTCGCGAGGGAGCCGGCCTCAGGCCCCCAGAACCGTGGGGTGCCCCGGGCTCCGGAGGGGCCTCCTCCAACCCCAGCTCTGCAAGGACTCGCACCCACGCACTGCCCCTCAGGAGGGCTGGGGGGCTGCCTCCGCACAGCCTCGTCATCACCCTTGGCACAGCCGACCGACAGTCTCCGGGAAGCCAAATAGCAGAAATGGTGTCTAGGAGACTGAGCACCAAATAGCTTTGGATGAAAGAGGCGGTGGTATTTTATCTCCCAGGTCCAGCTTGTCAGCAAAATTTTGAACACATTTCTAGGAATAGGCTGGAGTGTCCTTGAACTTGACATGCAACCTCTCTCTCTCCTCACCACCCTTCCCCGCAACCCCTCGACGGTGGCCAACATAGCCCAGCCTGGGGCCTGCCACACAGTAGGTGCTCAAGAAAATTCTGAAGTGCGTAAGTGAAAAATATATTATGATTTATATTTTGAACCCAGTGCCTCTCCCCTTATATTAGCTCCTTCCCGTCAGAATTCAAACCCCGTTCCCACCTCCCCCAAATCACAATCTCTAGCTTGTATTCTTCCCCTTCCTCCCTATCTCACCCCCTGTGCCTCATAGCCAGAGTTCTTGAAAGAACGACCCACTATCCTTACTTAGTATTACGCTTACCCCTCAAGTTGCCCAGCTCTGGCTCCCATCCCAATCTGCCTCTGCATGTGCTCTGACCGACGTGTCCAACAACCTTGTCGTCCTGAGACTGAATCTGCCCTTCTCGGGTCTGTGTTGCACTTGCCTCCTCTGCTGTTCAGTACGCACTGACAGTCCCTATTCTCTCGGCTGGTCCTTGGCTCTCATGACGTCGCCTCCGTGGGCTTTGCCCGTCTCCACTTTCTGGCTGCTTCTTCAGTGTAGGTTTTCCAGGGCTCTTTCCCAGGTCTTCTGTGGTTACTACACACACAGTGATAGAAACATTTACCATGGACTCGATCACCATCTATATGCAGGTGGCTCCTGAAGCCATGTCCCAGTCTGGACTACTGTTCTTAAGTTCAGACTCAGAAGCTTCTAGGTCTAGACTAGTAGGGAGGGTATATGGGCCTAGAGCTAAGAGCCCGCTTCTCCTTCACCTCCACATGATGGTGATGGTCACGGAATGCACTTAACCACCTCCTCCTTGAGAGGCGCCTGAGGAAGTAGTCCTGCCAAAATTAGACAGCCTTTCCTTTCTGGGCAAAAAGGGACACTGGGTTTTTAACTGCAACGTGACAGAAAATGCAGGCTATCAGGAAACACTGACAGGGATGGGCCAAAAGCGTTGCTTGCTCTTGTGTCAGATTTTTGTGCCTGCGGAACATACGACGATGAACTCAGTAACTTCGGCTGACACAAATGTGTGACCTCGCACATTTTCGGATCGGAAGTCTTGGGGATGTGGGTTAAGTGGGTTCACTGTCAGGGTCTCACCAGGCTCAAATCAAGGAACCAGCCGGATGGGGACCCATCTAAGGCTCCAGACCGTCTGTGATTCTGGATGCTGGCAGAATTCACATCCTTGTGAGCTGGAGACCTTAAGTCTTTCTCAATGTACTGATGTCAAGATCCTCTCAATCCTGAGTCTTGTGTTGCTGAACCTTTTTAGCCTCCTGATTTTCATCGTGTCTCAGTCCTCTTCTGGAATGCACTTAAATCCTGTACGTGTGAGTCTGCAATGTAATGTATAAGCTTTTCTAGTTCTGGGTCATCTGTGTCATTGATAAGTACATTTTCTTCGTCTTCACCCAGATATTAATCAAGTGTTGAGGGGACAGGCTGAAGAATTGAGGTCTCTGAGGTTGACATGGCAATTTCAGTAATCTGACAGTTTTTAAAAACGTATTAACTTAATTGAACCAGCACCCATGCCTTGTGAAAACTGAGATATGGTATGTCTGTGACATCTTCTTTATCCAGAACCTAGTGATTCTCTTAAAAATGGAAATGAGATTAATGAGAAATAATCTTTCCTTAGGAAAACCATGCTGATCCTTAGTCATTACTAATGATCACAAACTGTCCACTGAATTCATAGCCTAGTGTTTTCTGGGGGAATTGATGCTGTTATAATTATTCCTGGAACACCTTCTTTCCCTTCCTAAAGCTCTTTAGAGTGTTTGGAAACTGTTTCAGTATCCTTTCTGGGGGCACCTGGGTGGCTCACTCCACTGAGCACCTGACTCTCAATTTTGGCTCAGGTCATGATCTCAGGGTTCACGAGCTTGAGCCCCAAGTCGGGCTCTGAGCTGAGAGCGTGGAACCTGCTTAGGACTCTCTCTGCCCCTCCTCTGCTTGCACACACGCATGTTCTCGAGCTCTCTCTCTCAAAATAAATAAGTACACTTTAAAGAAAAGTATCCTGAAGTCTCATTGATGTAAATAATCGGCTTATATGAATATTCTTCCTAACAGATTTTCTAAACAATTTACCAGTCCTCCAAAATGGCAAATCAGCAAGGTCCCAACAATGTTCCCAGCAACTATTATTTATAACTCACATGCTTGCAGAAGATAGCTAAATATACCAAGCTTGTGAAATACATTTATGGAACTTGTCACTGTGAAGAACAAAGGCAGGTAAATTATGACCTTTGGGGTCAGTGGCAGCGATGGAAATGAGGCCACCTGCTTTTCTTCTTATTTTGAGGCAGTCTTTTCCTCACTTTTTCAGAAGCCCTGGAATTTCATGATCCTACTTTTTATTCTAATGAATGCACCATCATTATAGTAAGATCTGAGCAGCCCAAAGGAGATGCAAATTAATCTGAAACATCTCGGGTCTCTGGTGCTAGGGGAAAGCCCTTTGGGCTTTGGTCTTGATGAAGTCCAGAACTAACGAAATGTAAATCACAGGAAATCAAAGCTTATTTCTGATAATAAATGTGCACAGTCTGTTTGGATAGTTAGATCTGTCCATTTCATTACAATATCAAATATCCATTGTGTCTTAGAAATAGCTGGGGTTTGAGATAGTGTTTTCTTTTTCTTCAATCCATGTGTCCAGGACATGAACCAGGCGTGGACACAGACCAAAAGCCATGCCAGGGTAAACAAGGAGCTGCTTTGTCCCTGGCTGATATGTGACGCCCGCCACCAACCAGATGCCACTCTACCGGGCTCAGGCACTTTGGGTAGTTTGTGTTTCTTTTTTTTTTAAGGCTTTTTAAAATGTAAAATATAGAGCAATTTTGAGGGCGCCTGGATGGCTCAGTCAGTTAAGCGTCTGACTTCTGCCTCTCCTCTGCTCTCACTCTGTCTCTGTCTCTCTCTCAAAAATAATTTAAAATTGGGGCGCCTGGGTGGCTTAGTCGGTTAAGTGTCCGACTTCTGCTTAGGTCATGATCTCGCGGTTCGTGGGTTCGAGCCCCGCGTCGGGCTCTGTGCTGACTGCCAGCTCGGAGCCTGGAGCCTGTTTCAGTCTGTGACTCCCTCTCTCTCTGACCCTCCCCTGCTCACGCTGTCTCTCTCTCTCTCCTAGAAATAAATAAAACATTTTAAAAAAAAATTTTAAATTTTAATTTAATTTAAAATTTTAAAAAATTTAATTTAATTTAAAATTTTAAAAAATTTAATTTAAAAAATTAAAAAATTAAAAACAAAAAATAAAATACGAATTAAGCAGTTTTAATATAAAATATATTGTGTAGACAAGTTTAACAAATGGCTGCTAAGTAAATCCATCCTGCCCTGGGCCAAGAAGCAGCTGGCTAACAGTCCCCCAGAAAGTCCCCTCAACATCCTTCACCAGTAACAACCCCTCCCTGCTCTCGGGAGCGGCCACTTTTTTTTCCTTTTAGAGCTTTTCTAATTTCCTCGCTTTTCCTTGGTGTTTTATGGCTGTGGACGCATCCTTAGTTTTACCTGTTCCTAAACTGTTAGAAAATACAGCTCTATTGTGTTTTTCTCGGGGACTTGCTTTTTTCGCCCACCACTGCGAGATTCATCACATTTTTCCATGTATCTAAAATACTCCTTTTCTTGCTATATGTGCACTATACAGCGAGCATTTAGTTTTCTTCTGTTTTTTGGTAATTGTGAAAAACACTGTTAGGGACATTCTTTGATATTTGTGTTCATGCACATAATTATGCACATCTCATGGGAACATGGGATGGTCTACTTTCCTAGCTAACACAATATTGTTTTCCAAAGCGTTTGCACTGACTCACCTTCTTCCTGTCAGGGATGTAATTTCTGAATCTCTACATCCCGGCCAACTCAGTATTGTTAGTTTTTAAATTTTACCAATCATGTCGGTGTGTAGCTCTATCTCATTGTAATTTTATTATTATTGTTAAATGTTTATTTATTTTAAGAGGGAGGGAGAGAGAGAGAGAGAGAGAGAGAGAGAGAGAGAGAGAATGAGCATAAGAAGGGCAGAAGAGAGAAGGGGACAGAGAATCCCAAGCAGGCTCCACGCAGTCAGCAGCGAGCCCAAAGCGGGGCTTGAACTCACGAATTGAGAGGTCATGACCTCAGCCGAAGTCAGACACTTAACCCACTGAGCCACCCAGGCGTCCCAATACATAAACATTAAAACAATAGTTTCTCATAGGGGCACCCGGCTGGCTTCGTCAGTGGAGCGTGCCACTCTTGACTTTGGGGTTGTGAATTTGAGCCCCATGTTGGGTACAGAGATTACTTAAAAATAAAATCTTAAAAAGACATTTTCCTATAGTATCTTCTGAAAGCTTAGTATTTGGCCTTTCATATTAGTTCTTTAAGTCACCTGGAACTGATCTGACATACAGTACGAGGAAGGGGTATAATGTCGATTTTTTTTCCAATATGGAGACTTTATTACCCCATCACCATCCACTGAAAACACTGTCCATTTACTGCTGCCACCCTCTTCCACAAACAAGCCTCGATCTGTGCTACATTCTCTGTTCTCTTTCACTGGCCTTTTTTTTTTTTTTTTTAAATCTTTGCATAAATGCTGCACCATCTTGTTCACTAAAATACTATAATGTCTTGATTCAGATTAAAAACAAAATCCTCTTACATTTTTCTTTTTCTTCAAAAAGTAGCTTGTCAACTTCTACAAAATAAACGTGCTGAGATTTGTATTGGAATTGCACTGAGCCTGGAGCTCAGGTTGGGAGGAATTGACATTTTGAAAATATTGATATTTTTCAATCCAAGAACATGGCATAGCTGCCCTTTAAATATTCTTCTCATATTTAGGGTTTCTCAGTAAGCTTCAAATTTTTACTTTTGGAATCTTTACACATCTTTCCTAGACTGGTTTCTAAGTAATTGATGCTTTTAAGATTATACTGTAATTCATATCTTTTAAAATTCTATTTTTAAACTGTTTTGTGCTGAAATGAAGAAATATACTGCTTCTTATGTAATTTTTTCTTTCAGTAATAGTTTAAGACTCTTTAGGATTTTTGATGTACACATAATAGTGTTTGAGAAAAATGACAGCTGTTTGTTTTTTTTTCCCCCTTATAATCTATGTGCCTTTTATTGCTTTGTCTTCTTTATTGCTCTGGCTGGGGCCTCCCATGCAATGTTGACTACAAGTCAAGATTTGCTCCTTCTCTTAAAAGAGAAGTCTTCTGGGGAGCCTGAGTGGCTGAGTCCGTTAAGCATCCGACTTCAGCTCATATCATGATCTCACGGCTTGTGAGTTCAAGCCCCGCATCGGGCTCTGTGTTGACAGCTCAGAGCCTGGAGCCTGTTTCAGATTTTGGGTCTTCCTCTCTCTCTGCCCCTCCCCTGCTCATGTTTTCTCTCTCTCTCTCTCTCTCATTCTCTCTGTCTCAAAAATGAATAAATGTTAAAAAAAATTAAAAAACAAGAGAAGTCTTCTAACATTTTACCATTTAGCATACAATTTGTTGTCGATTTGGTGTGGATTTACTTTAACAAATTAAGCCTGGGAAACCTAAATCCTTAGAAGAGGTCAGGGCATAGTTTGAAGCTCTGGAAACAACAAATGTGGCGGTTAGTCCAGCCAGTCTATGCAGGCTCCTCCCAGAGGAAGCTGCGCCCTCTCAAAGCCTGCACTTCCGGCAGCCCTTCTAGTTGGAACCCCTGCCCCCCCTTCCCCCCCACCCCCGGCTCGTCCTCCCTGCACTCTGCGAGAGCGCATGCTACCTAACGTGTTAGTCAGGCCATGTTACTCCTCTCTAGAAACCTTCCAAATACCAGGCTCATGGGTCAAACGTCAAAGTCCTGAATCTGACAGAGAAGGCCCTTCGTGCTCTGGTCTCTTTCCACCTCTGGAGTCTCCCCATCTGGTGACTTCCTGCACACAGCACCCTCACCCTTGAGTCATCTTGCACCACTTAGAGTCCCCCAAATGTCCCTGTTGACCTGTATTTCCTACAACATGGGCATGTTTATAGGGTTGTCATGAGAAGTCCATAAAATTTGATGCGGAACCGTAATGAATTCCAGGTGACCTATTCATAACAGTACAGATGTGAAGACTGATGCATACTGAGTGTATTAGTTGGCTTGGGCTGTTATAACAAAATACCAAAACTTGGGTGGTTTAAACAACCGAATTTTTTCTCTCATAGTTCTGGAGGCTGGGAAGTCGAAGACCAAGGTACTGGCCAGTTCAGATCCTGGTGAGGCCCTTCTTCATGGCTTGCAAATGGCATTTTCTTTTTCTTCCTTCCTTCCTTCCTTCCTTCCTTCCTTCCTTCCTTCCTTCCTTCCTTCCTTCCTTCCTTCCTTCCTTCCTTCCCTCCTTCCTTTTTCACATAGCATTTTCTTGCTGTGTCCCCACGTGGCACAGAAAGATGGAAGGAGGGAGAGAGAGGGAAGGAAAGAAGGGGAGAAAGGGAGAATGAAAGGTCTCTGGTCTCTTCTTATAAGGACACAAAGCTCATCACAAGGACCTCACCCTCCTAACCTCATCACAATGTGATCACATCCCAATGGCCCCACCTCATCACATTTGGGGTAAGGGTTTTAGCATATGAATTTTGGGGGACACCATCCAGTCCAGAGCATAGAGCAAAGAGGGAAATGATTTATAATGGCTCTTTGTCCATTTGTCCAGCCTTCTGCTGCCATAGAGCAGAAGTTTTTCATACAAATCAAAATCTCCTGAGCATCAAGCACTAGTATCTACACTTTGACTAGAAGTGAGGGAGGTGGAGGGCTAAGAAATGATGGGAGAGAGACAGGCAATTCATGGAAGGGTCCTGTATTATAAAAAAAGAAGTGTGGATTTTATCCTTTGAATGAATAGGATCAGGAGAAAACAGACTCAATGAACTATTCACACACAGTTGGCTGTTAGCTTTAAAAGCTATAGAAATGCTCATCCTAATGATCCCATTTGGGGGATTTAGCCTAAGAAAATAATCCAAAAGATAGAGAAAGGTATATGCATAGAGATATTCATTCCATTATTTACAATAATAAAACCTGGGAGAAACCCACAGAGGAATACTTCAGTCGTTATTAAATAAATGTTTGTTGGATGAACCAACAAATACTCACTGAATATAAAGCAGCAATTAAAACAGGGACGTCCAGGTTAATAGCCTGGAAAAATCATTGAAGTAAGCAAAAGAGACAAAATATCACATTATAACTATGCAACTCTAAAACTCTATAAATACACTGACAAAGGATGGACCAAACTAGATGCAAATACAGATAAAAAGCACAACGAATTATTTCTTACGTTGGTGCAATTATTTGCCACCAACATACCATGTTTACAGAAGACACTGCCATTTTACAAACAAAAAAACAACCAGTGAAAGGTAATCTGGCTCTCTTCCCTCACAGCTTCACAAAGTAGCTCTTGTTTGTAGCCAGCCTAGAAAAAAAACACTTGGCTTTCAGTGACAGTGAATGGATGAAATATTTGGGGTCCATATAGTGGAAAGAAGTATTTGTTTTACTGCAAAGCACGGAACAATGGTAACTGGGGGAGCGGGGCAAAGGAGGAGGAGGATTTGGCCTCTTAGAAGAACTACAAATTCGGGGCACCAGGCAGCCATGATCTCCAACACAGGCTGGGAAATGGGGCCCTGGTGTTAATAAGCCAAAGGGAACCTGAACAGGACGGGGATGTCTGAGCAGACCTGTGCTTATTCTCACTTGAAACAAATACTCAAAAGAAAGAGAACAAGGTACTTGGCAATAGTT